GATGAGTGAAACGGGAAGCTTTGGGGTTATAATGCAAGCCAAGATGAATGTTGTTCATAAAAACTGCCTATGAATGGGGGGTGGAAAAAGAAAGTATTTCTGGAAACAAAAAATCCAAATTTGAGATCACATCAGTTTGGGTAGAGTTGCTCAGGAGAAACAAAATAAAAATGAACATTAAGGAGTGAATATTTTCCAAAAGAAAACAAGATTTGCAGAATTGCACTGAGACCTGGTACAAGAGAAAGGGGGCTGTTATTTGGGAATGCAGGAGGTGTACCAGAGCAGAAGGATCATGCACAGCTAGGAGAAGAATAGCAAGATAAATACAGTTTACAATTAGATGAGCAATTGTTTTGTCGAGGGAATGGAGTTGATGAAGAAACTGAGAGATAACAAAGAATATGTGTCAATAGAACTTAAAAAAATATATGTCGGGGAACAGAACTGAACAGGTTTTAATTGTAATTGAAGCTTGGAGCCTTGTTGGGGGTAGGAACAAGTGTGTTTTATGCATCCATTTGGATGTGGGACTGGGACTGCAGCCACTGAATCGATCAAACAGTATGCATTACTTTAACATATACAGTATTATTGCTTTAGGGTACCACGGAATTGCTTTTGTGCAGCACTGTTATAATGCAATGAATTCCATAGCACTTGAGCAATCCAGAACATGGGTACAAAATATGTTAGTTTTCTTCTGTATGCTTATAGCTGGCTGCCCTGCAGCAAGACTTAGAAAGCTGTTTTTCCAAGGTAAGACAACTTCTGCTATGAATAGGATTAATTTTTCATAAGAAACACTTCTATTTTTAATTAGAAATTGCCCTTATGCTGCATTTACTAAAGGTGCTGAAGGTTTTGGGACATCTTCAACAATTTTTACTTTTTCTGGCATGCTGTAAAAGCAGCCTGCTTTGCTTTGCAACCAGTGTGACCACAGTGCAGAAGGGAAAAAGGGTGTTTTTTAATGGTGATAATTGATGTGGTGTTAGTGTATCTTGGTGAAAACAGAAGTCAGCCATTTTCTTCTTCCTTAAGCCCATATTTGCAATGCTGTTTGACAGATGCAGTCAGTCAGAGCATATTTGCTTGGTTGTGTATAAGGGCTACCTCATTAAATATAATGAGCAATGTGGAACCAATATGAGATTTCCTGAAAAGAGGGAGTGATTCACATATGGTTCAAAATGAAAATAACACTCAGTAAATGATGACAAGAAAAGTCTGAAATGTTAATTTAAAAAAGGAAAAGGCATTTGGTTGTCATGTCTGTGTTGTTCTCAGAACTGGTAGCTCTCATGGTTAATGTGTACAAAAGGAGACTTGATGGCATTTAGTCCATTATCATCATAGAGAAACTTTTCCCTTACACAGGATCAGGCAGATGTGAAGATAAGTTAAACTTATACTTGAACAGAAACAGGATTTTCCATCACAAAAGATACTGCAGAGGTTCAGGGCAATAATGGAATGCATCACTTCACAAAGCAAAACTTCAGATTTGTCTCCATGATAGTTGATGTTTTGTCACATATGCATTACAAAAATACTTCAGAATAAATTAGCATTAAAATAGTTATGATTTACACATGAATGAATTATTTGAACAAGAATTTTTTTCCTAGCATATTCCTGACTCTTCTAAAGATAAAAGGAACCTCCATCCTATAAAAACACATATAGCTGTTCAACTACCTGAACAGCACAGTAGCAAAGCTATGGTCTGAGATTACCAAGTGGCTGGGAAGTTGATGGGTATATCAGGTAGTGTAAGGATCTGCCTCTCTACTTATGTAGCAATTATCATGGTAGAAACACCCAATGTAATTAAATTCAGTTCCACCAGCAATTTCCATTACCCAGATGTTATACCTGACCATGCTTCACAAGTCTGGAAGCTGATGTGCTCTGACATACCTGATTCCCCTCAGAATGCTGGATTTTAGGTAGCTTTGTTCTTCTGAAGTGTACAGAGTGATGTTCAGGGTGACATTAACAGACATTGAGGACAGACTTCTTTTGAGCAGATGTTTGTGTGTGTGTGTGTGCCACTGACCTTTATCATTCTTAACATTATTCATTGAAATGATTATTTCTTCAAACAGTTGTTCTTTAAATTACAAGCAAAGTTCCAGCACATTTCTTAGATTTTCATATTAACAACATGAGAAAATATTTTTTCTGTTTGGGCACATGTTTTATAATCATTAATTATTGATGCTGATGTTAATAATAATATTCTACTGATAGAAATAACATACATAAATCAACTAAGTATTACAGTACAACTGTGAATATTCAGCTGAGATTAAAAAAAAAAAAAAATCTTCTTAAATTGACTTGAATGCAGCTTTAGCTTTTTCGTCTTATTTAGTGATGTTGTTTTGTAGGAAGACTGATATACCACTGAACAGCACAGCCCATTTGCTGTTTCAGAGGAATTTTCTTTGCCACAAGGGTCCAATTAATTTTACTTAGTTTTTGTATTTGGAACCGACCCCATTTTATACCATCAAGCTTAATATATAAAAGAACTGAATGGCAAGAAACTCAACCACTTTTCTGGTCACCACAGTGGATTACAGATTGCCACTCCAGTGATGTTTCCAACCCTTATTCTAACAAATCGATATTAGTATCCAGCCACCTTATTCCCGTGACAAGTTAGAATGAAATTTTCTTTGCCAAGAGTAATGGTGCTTGCTACTGGGTAGTGACTAGGCCATTCATTCAAATATTCAAGTACTGCAATGCTCCCAAGAATCCCTGGTAAAAACAAAAAAACAGTGTGGAGAGTTCTCTAGGGATCTAGGGAAACTGCAACTAGTATAGGTAGCATCATAGTTTGGGCAGACTGGCATCTTTCAATAAAAGCCTAACTCTATGGTAGAAAGAGATGTAAGTCTGAATCAATGTCTTGCTCATTCTGAAGGGCATGCATCTGGGAGTTTTTCCTTTCATTTTCATGAGCTGAAGGGCAACCATAATGGTGGGAATTAGCATGAGTAGAAATTGTAATCAGTTGAATACTGCTGCTGATGAGTTGAATTAACTGGTATTTCCTTTTAGACATACTGGTAGTCACTTTTACACTCCTTAGAAATGTTACAGACACATGGCAAACAAACTGCTATGTTTACAGTATGAGTGATTTTGAAAGCTTACTGCTCTCTGCATTTGCCTTTTGACCGAATTCAGCTCTTTCCTTTTTATTTGACACTTCAAATATTCTCATATTGAACTTTCTCATGAATTTTTATTAGGAAAAATTCTTCTGGGAGAGGAATTGAAAGACAAAAATAGGGACCCAAGTGGCCTGCAGATTAGAAAGAAGTGGCAAAGCCTTTGAGAGAGATGGAAACTCTATCAGGGTGAGCCTCAAAAAGTTATGAAAATTTTCAAAATCGTGAGAAGAGATTTTCTGCATGGTTCCTACTGCTTCTTGATTTTGTCTCATCTAATTGACTGTGATGTGGAAGCTGGTAGAGGGTAGAGCAGTGTTGATAGACTCATGAGATGTGAGGCACCTGTACAGGTGGCAGCAGGACCAGCCTGTGGAGTTTTTGACTGATGGATGTTCAGGTCATGCCAGTAAGAAAACTAATTCAGCCTTGCAGTTTTATGAAAACACAGCTTAGGGGTGGAGCTCTCTGTGTGAAATATAAAGTAACTGCATGGATTCCAGAACTAACTGAGGTATCTGGAGTTTCTGCAAAAAGCGAATAGGATGTAGCTACCTTATTGGAATTAGACCCTTAATTCAATTTATTATTTCTTTTTTATAACTGTCATGACAACCTGAATGAATACTACTGATGTAAATCTTTTTGAGTTTCACAATTCCCTTGGGATCTTTAAGGTTCCATCCAACTCAAACCATTCTATGATTCCCAACACAGTACAAATTTGCGTGTGGATTTTTTCGTGGTGTGTAGCTCTTATTTTGCGGTTGGTTTTGTTTGTTTCTTTTCCTCAGGAAGGGGCCTGGATCAAGGGGAAGTTTTGTGAGATGAGGAGAGGTTGGTTTCGATCTTGGAAGTAACTGCAGTTGGAGAAGAGAGTTGCAGAGACTGAAAGAGTAATCAAACAGAAGAGGGGTGGTCTCTGGGAAATGGCAGATCATGCAAAAACAGCACTGAGAGGAGCAGAGGGCAGAAGTGTGTTGTAGGGGGGAGACAAAGATATGATGGGCAGAGAGTTCTAGGGGCTGGAGGCCTTTCTGAAGAGTTTACTGTAGCTCATAAAGTGATGAATTGCCTGAAGATCAGATACAGCTTAAATACTTTGGAAAATGCAGGAGGAAAAGGAAGACTTGAGCATAAACCCCTTCTACTCTTGTACTTCTGATATAGAAGTATGAAGTTTTATCTAAGAAAAAAACCAAACAACCAAAAATGCCCAACCCAACTAAACCCCTACTAGCCAATATTTTAAGTTACAACTAGGGTTTGTGGCTATTTTCATTTTTAACTTGCAAGCTTTTGCTGTTTATTGAGAATTTATTAGCTGAGGACAGTCTCAGCAGATTCACCTGTAAGTTCTGTTTGATTAAAAGCCTGGACTGACAAGTGATTGAGTATAGATGTGACTTTAGATGTGAAAATTATGTAAGACTTTTGAAGTCTCCATTTTTACATGTCTCATCCAAGTTTTTGAGGTAAGCAAGAACTTGTTTAAGATGTATGATTGAAACAGTTGCCTGGTTAGAATGGTAGACATACTTGCTTAGGTTTAAAACTAGTCTACAGGAATCCAAAGCGAATACAGCCTGCCTACTGTCACAGAATCAGAAAATCGTATGATTCTCCAGTCACTATAAGAAGTGCAGTAACCTGACAGATTCAAATAAATAGTTTGATATGTTACCACTAATAGCTGGAAAAATGTATAATACAAAATGTAGAATCTGTTAGTTTGTGTTTATTTTGTCTAAAGATGCAGACAAGATAATTATTTTTTTTTAAGTCTTTATAATTGATCTTTTTCTTTTTTAGGAAATCTTTAAGATTGAAGGCAATCTTGGAATTCCAAGACAAAAAAGGGCTATTTTGGCAACTCCAATATTAATTCCTGAAAATCAAAGACCACCATTCCCCAGATCTGTTGGCAAGGTAAGTCAGCAAAGGACTGGATCAAATGTTGATATTAAGTAATTGATCTATTTCTCTCATATTGGTAATGATATCCCAGAAAAAAAAAAAAAAAAAAGAAACATAAAACTGAACCGAACTTTTCTGTCTATATTGTATAGACATCTGAAAATGGCTTTATACTCATGGCAGAGTTTGCCAGCACAAATTCTGGCAGAAAGCATTAATCTGAGATTATTTGCATACAGCTGCTGTCTTCAATGGAGCCTACTGCACCTCCTTGTGTATCTGTGTGCTAGACTGGGACTGAAATCTAGACCAGGAAAGTCTTGAATTATATCCTGTAGGAGTGGATTATCTTGTTTCTGTTCTCAAGGTCTAGAAGGAGTTAATAATGCATTACATGTAGAAATGTCTTTTGTTCATCCCTTAGTAAATTTTTTAGTGTCCAAAGCCAAAATAAGTCTTTGCAGGTGTTTTCAGTTTTATATTTTGCTGTTTGCAAAGATCTGACAAAGAAGTGGGAAGTTTTTCTCCTGTCTGCAGACAACCAGATAGATGAGAATTCTAACAGCTGCTTTTCCAGAAATTCAGATATATATCTGTATGCAAATCATTATAACTAAAATATCATAAGTGGTTCCAATGGCCATTTAGGTATCAGAAGTTATAACTACATAAACGTTAGCAGTTTTGAAACAGGAATTCCTGTGAATTGCTCTGACTTTGGTAGCAGTGTTGATGACATAATGGCCTGTACAGCTGTAGAGTCTGTTCCTAATTCCCACTGACTTGTTCGCTAAAGCTAAATGCTCAGCTTGAGGGCAGAATTTTACAATCAATGTGTAATTTAACCAGCTGGCATCTAATCAGTTACTTTAATAATTAGAAAAGGATGTTTTCAATCAGTAAAAAGAAGGAACAATTATGAAGAACTTATTTTATCCCCTTTCACTGTCAATACTTTATACTGATCTCATAAATTTCTGGAAGTTTTCCTGTTTTTCTTAAGTATTTTTTAATATGCCCTGAACTTTCTGGAGCCATTTCTGAACATTTCCCATCACATTTCAGTGTTTGAGAATGGTTAATCAATAACTGAAGTAAGTAATGTTTGTTAATATATTAGGGGTATATAGTTAATTTTTAAGGCTTCTGTTCTGCAATTTTAAAGCAGCGAGAGAATTAAAAAGGTTACTTATATATGGCTGTATAGTTAAGGATTTTTTTTGTTATTTATCGATTTCTCCCTGCCCTCTTCCACCCCTACTGCTTGTGAACACTGAATTTTTAGGTCTGAGGTAGCCTGAGCTGCTCCCTGTAAATGCCTTCATTATACATTTCTATTGGGACTTAAGGATGCTAGTCTTGGCAACTGAGATTATTTAAGCAGAATGAGGTGGATCAGGTCCTATTTGTACTTAAATGTTTTAGTAGCAACTTGACACCTTGATTTGTTATCATTCCTGAAATGCTCTTCAGGGATTACAAGGTGCATTTAGATGATGTACAAACACAGAAGTGTAAAAGCCTCAGGCAGTCTCTTTTTCAACAGCCCTAGGGTACCTGTCCTCAACTAATGTTTAAATTAAGGGAACTGCAAATGATCAGCACCTTGAAATACTTAGTCATCAGTTTTAGAAGTCTAAATATTTTTTTTTCTGGTATATTTCTAATTTAGGTATCTAGACATGTGTATTTATTTTGGCTACAGTCTGTTGCATGTAGCAACTTAGAGTGTATGTGTCAAGTGAGTCAAAAGTTTTAGAGATATTTTAAATAATGTAGAATATTTTGTTCCATTAACTACAGTAATTTGCAGCTGAATGCTTAACAAAGCAGAAATAAAATGTGTGGAGCCTCAGACATACTGATGGTAGGGAAGAGAGTCTTGTTTCCTAACTAAAAAATTCAGTGGAAGTAAATGCAGGGGAAGGAAAAAAACCAAACCAAAACAAAACTACAGTCCTTTAGGTCTTCATAAGATAGGCCATGAAGTCTTCAGAAATAGACTAGTTTGTACTAACCTAGAGAGTCTTAGATACCCAATTCTTGCATTTGTGTCAGATCCTACACTGTCTGTAGAAAAATTTGATCATCTGTCTCATTTACACTTCAGATGTTTGTTGTGAACTGAATGTGGCTTTATGAATGTACAAAAATTCATTTAGTTTCCCACTTCTGTGAAGTATGAGAAACATATTTATTTCCTCTTCCACATTTTTTTTGGGCTTATCTTCCAAAGCCTCAACAGGGCACTACTTGGACTGATGAATTACAGCTTCTGATGGATATGAATTTACCTTGAACTTAAACTTTTCCATCTCTAGTCTGTTGTAACCACTGTGAATGGACGTTGCAGATATATTTTGTAGCTCTGGTTTCTACAGTGTTTTGGGGAAGAGAGAAAATATTCAGAGATTTGATAATTTACATGTTATAATAGAATTAGGGAAAAAAAAAAATAAAAGAGGAGGACAAAAGGAAAGCAGATTCTAGATCAAACTTTTATCATGTTCCTGCAGGCAGTCAGGGCTGAGGACTTGAGTATGACCTGGGATGGAAACAGTGGAGTTTGTCTTGTGCTGCAGGGGCTCACAAGGACTCATTCTTCCCTACTCCGGGAAACAGTGTCCTTCTGGGCTCCTTTGGATTCAGATATAACTGGTTCTGTTTGATATCATCATGTGGTCAAGTCTGGATTTCCAGTTGCACCCTGAGTGTGTTATTTTCCTGTCCTTCTATCTGCTTTAGCAAATTATCAGTGTCGTTTATTCATCTGCCCTGACTGCCACTTGCTTTCCAACCCCTGCCTGGAAATGCACAAGGTTGTTTGGAAGTTTTTGCAGCAGCCACCAAGAGTTGAGCTGCTTATTAGCACTTACTTAGGAGCAGGCCAGCTGTGCAAAAATAAGAGAGCAGAGAGAGAATAATTAATTACATTTTATTTGACAATTAGAAAACAATTGCATAAATCTAAAAAAAAAGTGGGGATTTTAGGGGACTGTATCCATTAAGATTTGGTAATATAAATCAGAAAATGCAACTGGAAAATTGAAAAAAAAAAGGTTAATTAACTACAAAAATTAAATTTGTTTTTAACTTAACAAGAAAATAAATGTGAAGAGGTTTTTTTTCTCTGCTGTTACTGGTTTTCCAGCATACTCATTTAGGAATGAAATTGCCTTGCCATTTGCCCACTGTTCTTTAGGGTATTTCATAGTGAAACAACTACCATAGGAATGCTGGGCTTGGAGGTAGAGGAATCTCATCTGTTAGCAGGATTTAAGATTTTACATATTATCCTTTATTCCTGAAGGAAAATAGTGAGATGAAAATATTGTAATACAATCCTGGTAATACAGGTCTTTGTGACCAGATGGCCCAGGCTACAACCGTTGGGTGCTACTGATGTGTTTTGTTTAGCTCTTGCTGGTACTAGTCTTGGCAACTGAGATTATTTAAGCAGAATGAGGTGGATCAGGTCCTATTTGTACTTAAATGTTTTAGTAGCAACTTGACACCTTGATTTGTTATCATTCCTGAAATGCTCTTCAGGGATTACAAGGTGCATTTAGATGATGTACAAACACAGAAGTGTAAAAGCCTCAGGCAGTCTCTTTTTCAACAGCCCTAGGGTACCTGTCCTCAACTAATGTTTAAATTAAGGGAACTGCAAATGATCAGCACCTTGAAATACTTAGTCATCAGTTTTAGAAGTCTAAATATTTTTTTTTCTGGTATATTTCTAATTTAGGTATCTAGACATGTGTATTTATTTTGGCTACAGTCTGTTGCATGTAGCAACTTAGAGTGTATGTGTCAAGTGAGTCAAAAGTTTTAGAGATATTTTAAATAATGTAGAATATTTTGTTCCATTAACTACAGTAATTTGCAGCTGAATGCTTAACAAAGCAGAAATAAAATGTGTGGAGCCTCAGACATACTGATGGTAGGGAAGAGAGTCTTGTTTCCTAACTAAAAAATTCAGTGGAAGTAAATGCAGGGGAAGGAAAAAAACCAAACCAAAACAAAACTACAGTCCTTTAGGTCTTCATAAGATAGGCCATGAAGTCTTCAGAAATAGACTAGTTTGTACTAACCTAGAGAGTCTTAGATACCCAATTCTTGCATTTGTGTCAGATCCTACACTGTCTGTAGAAAAATTTGATCATCTGTCTCATTTACACTTCAGATGTTTGTTGTGAACTGAATGTGGCTTTATGAATGTACAAAAATTCATTTAGTTTCCCACTTCTGTGAAGTATGAGAAACATATTTATTTCCTCTTCCACATTTTTTTTGGGCTTATCTTCCAAAGCCTCAACAGGGCACTACTTGGACTGATGAATTACAGCTTCTGATGGATATGAATTTACCTTGAACTTAAACTTTTCCATCTCTAGTCTGTTGTAACCACTGTGAATGGACGTTGCAGATATATTTTGTAGCTCTGGTTTCTACAGTGTTTTGGGGAAGAGAGAAAATATTCAGAGATTTGATAATTTACATGTTATAATAGAATTAGGGAAAAAAAAAAATAAAAGAGGAGGACAAAAGGAAAGCAGATTCTAGATCAAACTTTTATCATGTTCCTGCAGGCAGTCAGGGCTGAGGACTTGAGTATGACCTGGGATGGAAACAGTGGAGTTTGTCTTGTGCTGCAGGGGCTCACAAGGACTCATTCTTCCCTACTCCGGGAAACAGTGTCCTTCTGGGCTCCTTTGGATTCAGATATAACTGGTTCTGTTTGATATCATCATGTGGTCAAGTCTGGATTTCCAGTTGCACCCTGAGTGTGTTATTTTCCTGTCCTTCTATCTGCTTTAGCAAATTATCAGTGTCGTTTATTCATCTGCCCTGACTGCCACTTGCTTTCCAACCCCTGCCTGGAAATGCACAAGGTTGTTTGGAAGTTTTTGCAGCAGCCACCAAGAGTTGAGCTGCTTATTAGCACTTACTTAGGAGCAGGCCAGCTGTGCAAAAATAAGAGAGCAGAGAGAGAATAATTAATTACATTT